TATTAGTACCTAAAGTACAAAAGTGTTCCTCTTTAAATTTTTTTTGGAATTGATAAATACCTTGTATGTTTTAGTAATACATACACACCAATATGGACCCTTAATTTACAAATGTGTACCTTTTTAAAAAGGTACCACCCCAGTGACCCCTTGCGTATCTTTATTTCTGAGAGTGTAGTGTGTATGGGTGTTTCCCAAAACTGGATTGCGCCTGGAAAGACTTCCGCTGCATTAAACATATGCTGGAATAGCTGGCGGTTCATTCTACTGTGGAGATCCCGAATAAAAAAGAAACTAAGCTGAAGGAAAATGAATGAATGAATAAATAAGGAGAGACGTGATCTTATAACCTCCTGAGAGAGGCTCTTTAAGATGGCTTCGGTACATGATGTGCGTGAGACTCGCTGTGATCCTTCTAATTTTATATCTAAATAGTAATTTGGAAGATGTTTTTAAGCTCACTTTCCATCTGTTTTATATCAGAGGTATGAATTTTTGACAATCATATTCATCACAGAGCCACTAGACACTCTATTTTTCTATATTTGTGCATGGGAATGAAGCATGTTTAGTGTAAGTAATCTAATCCTGTCTGCTTTTATTTATGCTTTTTGTGTGGGCATGGGCAGTCATTTTCCTCTGTGCATTTAAACACGTACACAATAAACGATAATATGAACAATTAGTCATGACAGCATGTGTTTTTAATTCATTCTAACTTATTAAACTAAGTTAATAATATTCTAACTTCAAGTTACACAAGCTGTTTTAAGTCGGTTTAACATTATGTAAGTTTAATGGACTCAATGGTTCAAGGGTTAATTTGATTCAAAGCAACCATGCATGCATACTGAAAATAAATCATTTACATTATGCATGCATGGTTGCTTTAAATTATGTACAGAATGCATGCATGGTTGCTCTAAATTAAAGCAACCATGCATGCTTACTGTAAAAATTTACAGTATATTATTTACAGTTAGTTAGTTATTTACAGTTGTGAATTGCATTATGGGATGTTGAGCTTTGCTCTGTCGACTTTCGATGCTGAAAATTCAACACTA